AACCCGAACGGTTCCATAATTATATTTGGACCCGACGGGTCCATTTATTAAATACCCGAAAGTTTTGGGTCGGTTCGGGTCTCTTCAGAACCGAACCGAACCGACCCACGGACAGCCCTACTACGCATCATAAAGTGATTATAATGCTTGTGTGTACACCAAATACTTTATAGATTGTAATTCAGTGCACAAAAAACTTACAGCTCGAGAACTGAAATGACAAAATGAAAATGATTTCATCCCAAAAATCTATAAACCAAATCTGAATACAAGTTTTCATTATATACCATATGGACGAGTTAAATATACCTTCAAACTTTGCCATATTATAAAAGCTTGATTGATCAGCATATAGCCTTGGTGATGTTTAACACAAACATAAAATAAAGGAGTGTGATACAGAACTACCAAGCAAGGGCACTCCTCTAGAGTGGTTTGGAGTCACACACGTACTAAACAGATCTTGGAGATGCTCATACTTGTTTGATATGCTAAATGTAATTTCCTACTTTTTTTTTATAGTATTTAAGAATTCCTACAAGCGATAACACACCACAGACTGCCTTCAACGTGTATGCAATACGACATGCGTTGTTTCCTACATTTTATAGTTCTTTAATTTAAAACAGGCAAGAAACATGGCCCAACATGTTAAGGACACAGCAATCCTCATTTTGTAATTTTGGAATATAAATGAAGGAAATTTTTTATTACTATAACATTTGAGTAAAAAGTGAAAACAATGTGGCAAAAAAATTATACAAATTTCATTTGAATTAAGGTTACATCTACAATATGCCCTTCTGATATATAAAAACTTTTAATTTGTTGGCACTACTAGTAATAAAATGCAGAAAGTAAAGTTACCTTAACACAACCAATAGTCACCCTTCAATCTGAGAAGTGACCTGTCATTGCGTCCACGTTTAGTCATATATATGCTTCATAACTGAGACTAGAATTGTGCTTAATTATTCACCACAAATCTTATTTTGCAAAAGAAGGTAGGATGTGCAGGTATTCCACGTTGATATATCAATATCATAACTACTTTACATTAGAATCGAATTTTGCATGGGAAAAAGATTTTGAGTAATTTAAACAGGTGTAAGAAACGTGCATAATGTCCAGGAACAAACCATTCAGAAATTGAACAAACGATTCCTGCTATTTTAGGCAAATATCCTACTAACACTCCATAATTTGCTACTTCAAATATGGTAACAAAGATGCTAATTATTGTTGTATGTATAGATTTCACGTTTTTAAAGATTATTTTAGTATTGAGTGCCTGGATACAAGCTACAAACATTCTTCTCTAGATCATGTTGAGTGGTTAATTATATAGATGCCAAAATTTTGACTTTACTAGACAAATGAACTGTACTGAATGATCAAAAAAAGGGTAATCCTCCAGTAAAAATTAAACAGTCAGGGCAGCTGAAAGGACGTAAAAAGGAAAATTATACCTCAGCAATTCAATTATTTGGGGAACGTCCAGCATCAGATCCAGATCCTGAGGTATTTTCACTATCTGAATCTGTAATCAATATAATAAAACAAGTAATTGAAGCAGATTGACTTCGTAAAAAAAAATGGCACTGAAAACAAGAAAAGAAAAATGATTAGTTATACCACTTGACGAAGATCCCGAATCAGGGCTAGAGCCACTTGCGTTGGCGGTTTGGCCTGCATCATTACCCCCCAGTTTTTCCACTTGTGCAAGAGGCGAGGAACCATTCTTTTCAACTGTTTCAAACAGAAAAAGAAAGAAATAATTATTACTCAAGTTTACAGCTTCTAATAAATACAAAAAGATATCCATGCTCTTGAAACTTCTACCTGTTTGACTTTCATCAAACTCTTTTGGAGTTTCTGTAACCACTGGAGATGGAATCTACAGATAATGGAAGAATAAAGCATTAATCAATAACCCAAATAAACTTGAAGATGGGGTGGATTGTGGAGAACTAACAAGTTAACTTACTGTTTCCTGGGGATTCAGCTGAGCTCCATCTTTTAATTGAGTAGCGATTTCAGCTTTTCTTTTGTTCTTGCTCAAACTCTTCTTATAATTTGCTAAGAACCTATCAAGCTCCCAAAGAGTTTCAGTATCAACAATATCGATATCAACTTCAATCTCATCATCGAATTGTGAAAGAGTTGGATTCCTCTTTTTAATGATCTGAACAACGTTTTCAAGCTTCTCAGAAGGTAAACTCTGCAAATTTATGCTAAGTTTTTGCTTTTCCTCAAATGTCATCTCTCTTTTATTAGGATCCTTTGCCTTTGGCTTCTTTGCTGTAGCAATCCTGCCAGATTGAACAAGATGTCCAGATCTTTGTTGAGGATCAATAGGATGTGTCATCGATTCAGATATATCAAGAACTCTTCTTGTATCAGGCAACAGTCGTGATTGTGGAGGAGCCTTCCTAGATCTAGGTGCAGGGGAACCCGCTTCAACATCCACAGCAAGCTTCAGCTCGCGCATATAATCAGCCTCTATAGTTGCCCATTTATCCTCAAATATACTAGACAGCTGCTCAGCCATCATATAAACATCTTGCTCTTTTGGATTATATGTCATAGCATTCCGAAATGTGAGCCTCACATCCTCGGCAAATTCTACGGGAGAATTGTATAAGTTCTGATTCAGCTTAGCTTTCACGGTACCAAGGTCCATAGGGCTTTTTATAATCTCAAAATAGTCATGCAGACCAAGAGCAACCGTATCAACTGGCTTGTTAAATACCCAACCATGCTTGTGCTTCATCAATCTCTCCAAGAGCGCACTGCAACCCTTAAAAGCTAGATTTGAAAACTTTCCCAATCCAAATCTATTTCCCGATTCACTCCCTTCTCCCTTTTTCCTATTTGATTTCAGTTTCTTGTTACTTTCCGCAGAAGGAAAATTATCCTTTGCGAGTAAAAACTCGGAGTTTTTGTAGAACTGATTTGCCTTGGGGGTCCTCTTCTCTATCTCCACGTTCTCACTCCCACCCTGACTATCCTCAACTACTGACACGCTTAACTGATTCAACGGTTTTAACATACGAGGCGGTCCCACAGGAACCTTATTCCCAGAGCTCTTATCAAGCCCATGATCATTCTTTTGCTTCTCATTCGTCTCAATCTTCTTCATCAAACTCCAAACCATATTCCGCTCACCCTCCAACTTCCTCTTCAGCTCCCGCACCTCCTGTTTCGACTTCATCGACAAATTTATGGTAACCCTATTGTCTGGCCTCAGAATTCTGCCCTTCCCAGCCAACCCATCACGATTCAAACCCGAAAAGTTATCCGAGGCAGCATCAACACCAGAACTAACTAATCTTTTCGTCAAATTCAAATCCTCGGAAACCATTTCTTGGGTTTTTTGCTGTTGTTCTCTTGATAAGCTTTTACTATTTTTAAGCCCTTTGAATGATTTTCTTGTATAAACTTTACTCTCTGCCCACTTCTTCTTTTCTTTAGACCCTTCATTTCCACCACTCACCATTGTCCCAAAAACTCACCTTGCACACTCCTCAGAACTTAAACAAAATCGGGACTTTCAATATGCACAACTTTTACACACACCAACCACATATACACAAACTAGCTTTACACAAAGAGTTGACTGATATACATATATACCCAATTTTTTACAAAGTCAAAGAATTATCTACATATATAAATAGAATAACTTAGCACAATTATAGTTAAGCTGGGGTTTTAATACCGTACCTGCTGAAGAAATTTTCTGTTTCTGCTGGGATTTTACTTTCTTAGACAATGGAGAAGATAGGCGGACGAGGAGGAAGGGGAAGTACACGAGAGGGATGTGCACACGAAATCTAAGGGCGAGGGTGTTGGCGTNTTAGCGAAGAATTCAACGTACTCCTGCGTGCCGGGAAGTTCCATTCCTTACCCTAGAAAGCCAGTCTTCTTCGGAACCCGCCAATCCATCTTTAAGCGCGAGAGTCGGAAGATCTAGTTCAAGTAGGTTTCAATACGCAGGCGAACAGCGGGATCACACAGCACTTATATAATACGCAATTCGCGCGTGAATGTACATGATCATCAAATGTGGAGGAACTTCCACCCCTTTCATTTAGTTCTCGCTCCGGTACACTCTTGGGTTGGATATACAGATTGAAAACAAGGATTTCAGACAGCATGAAAGATTCCCTTGAGAAGACTGATCTTCAACCGGAGAATCAGCTGAAACAAGAGACGCATTGGCATCCAAAGAAGCAAGGGCGAGCTAAAACCCTGCATTCAATAATGGCATAAAAATAAGACTCTAAGGGCTTTCGGGCTTAGCACCCGAACAAAGACAGGACCCGTATTCTTTTCTGTTTCCGGTTAGTCTTTTGTTTTTTCGGAATCAGAAGTGCCCCTTTGGCTGCTTCTCTTATTCCATTACCGATTGCTTCTAGCGGCGGATAATAGTCAAACCTCTCTCCTTTCTCTTGCCCATCCTAAAAAAGCCTTGTCTAAGGCCTCTTTCCTACGAAGGCTTTGATAATTTATTCTTGTCTCATCTCAAACATAAATGCATCTTAACGTCTTTTACTATGCGACCGCATGGTAGAATGATGGGACGGTCCTAATTTTAGGGATGGCAATTTTTGCCTTGTCAAACCCAAATCCAAAATGATTTCGAGATGGGGCAAGCCCACCCTATTGTTTAAGGATAATTATATTCATACAACAATTTTTCTTCTTTGCATCACATTTTAATTATATTTAACCCCCATCTGGACCACCTTTTTATCTCATTAAAATGAAAAATATGACATTTATCCATCATATCAACATTTGAATTCAAAATTTCTACATCTTGTGTGGGCCCAATAACAGCTATATTTTTCATTCTCATTCTACAAAAAGGTGATTCAAGCAGAGTCTTAATGTTCCTAATATTTGTTCATTATAACACTTTCTGTCCATGGTGTATTACAGTATCAGTACATGAACCGAAATGGCGAATGTGTTTCTTGATGCAAAAGACTAGTTAAATTGGTTTTCTTTGTATTGTGACATTTTGCTCCTTGCTAGTTTCCGCAGTCACTATGGCATTATGTTCAATTCTTGGTTTGTTCTTCATTTTGATTTTATCATTTGCTTTCATTCTTTCATTTTGGTGAAGCAGTTTGTCAAGGATTGAAACCTTTTCTCCTTCCACATTTCAAGGAATCTTTATAAATGGCCTTCGTTTGCATGCTAAGTCAGGATGGCAATCTTTTTAGTTTTCTTTGTTAACCTTTAATGGTGTCTCTTTCATTTTTTGTTTTGACTTTAGTTAGAATAGATGTTTAATGAGTATAAGAGTTTTGGTTAAACGTGAAGTCTAAAAAAATATAAAAGGTCCAAAAGCATTTAGAATAGATATTAGTTTATAACTTGAGTGATAAATTTTACCTGATTTTATTTTTATTTATTTAAGTAAATTTACATAAGGTTATATATATATATATACAGAAATGATCTAATGAGCACCGGTGCTCATCTTATCCTAAGTACCGATGAGTTGGCACATTAATTCATTGGTGGATTGGAACTCACAAAATCTTTATCCACCAATGAATTAATGTGCCAACTCATCGGTGCTTAGGATAAGATGAGCACCGGTGCTCATTAGATCATTTTTGTATATTTTGCATGCTAAGTCAGGATGGCAATCTTTTTAGTTTTCTTTGTTAACCTTTAATGGTGTCTCTTTCATTTTTTGTTTTGACTTTAGTTAGAATAGATGTTTAATGAGTATAAGAGTTTTAGTTGAACGTAAAGTCTAAAAAAATATAAAAGGTCCAAAAGCATTTAAAGAGAGTACATTTTAGTTAATAACGTGAGTGATAAATTATACCTAATTTTATTTTTATTTATTTAAGTAAATTTACATAAGGTTAAAAAAAAATAAAAATAATAATAATAATAATATATATATAATCCTATCCTTAATTGAATTGGTATGTAATTAGAATTTACCATAAAATATTTGAAAATTCTATAATCATGCTACTAATCGAATCCATCCACAATTTTCTCTCATTAGCTTGTGAAACTAATTCAAAGCGCTTCACAATTCACTCATTTGATCAATTTTTACATGTTTTATTCTTTCCTGTCACCGTCATTCTCATCACTATGTTTCTACAATTAAGATTAATTCTTCTACAGCATATTGGGTCGAAAATACAAATCAATATCGACCATTTTTGTTTATGATCATTTATTGTTTGATTTTTCGCAATTGAACGTGATTGTGAACAAATAATAAAGTAGTAGATAAAGTATCGAACACACAAGGACTACGTACTTAATTGAGTGTCAATTAATTTCAACCTTAATTGAGTAGCCAAATTGATTTGGGTATTTATACTAAATGATCTAATTATATTAACTAAGCTAATTGTGAAGGGTTTTGTCAAATATGTAAGATGAATGTAAAACTTCGAATCCCCCCTTGTTAATTCATTTTTAACATAATTAAATATGATGACAATATATAATTATTGATGTTGATTAATTAAAAGTATCTATCGATATTAATTAAATATATCCCTTCGTGTGACATTCTTATATTTATATGAAAAATGGGAACATGAAAACACGCATTAAAAAAGTTAGAACATTTATAGAAATCATGTAAAGTATAGCGATATATCTCTATTTCCTATGAGACTTTACAACGATTATTATAAGTGATATATATTCTATTATTTCCCTTTAAATCAATCAAACTCACATTCAAAACAGTTGGTGATCAAGCAATTGAAAAAATATTGCAACTCAATAACAACCATCCATAAATTCACTCATATTGGACTTCAAAATATTTATTTTATATTAAAAACTTCGTAACAAGGGTTCATCTACATAATAGCAATTATAAATTTAGCATAGCATATGAAAAGTACAAGAAAATACATTAGTTCTATAGAATATGACCTGAATTATGAATTTGATGTAACAAAGACTAATCTTGATTTTCTTGAAGTTCTTCAATGAAATCTTGATGAATCTACAATTCTTTGCCCAAAAGTTGGATGATTCTTTAATTGATTTAGTTTTTGTACTTGCCTCTTGATTATATCTCATAATATTATGAATTTGTCTTTTCCTTTGGTGTATGAATTGATGAAATTACAGATATAATATGTGCATGAATGATATAGGAAAGTTGTTTTCGCGCACGCATGTTTTTGTCTTTGCACAGCAATAAGTATTTTGGTCGTAACTTTATTTCCAAATATCCGATTAAGGCAATTCAAAGTGCGTTAAAAAACTAACTAACAGAAATACAACTTTAATTGAAATATAATGATTCAAATTCGGACATTTTACTATGTCAAAAGGGGTCTCAATCTTTGACTTAAAATTTGGAATATAACTTTTATGATTGGAAATTGATTTGTCATAACATTTTGATCATATTCCATTTCTTTTTTTTACTTCTAATTCCATCAAATTGTCTCCTAACAATCTTCAAAATATTATCTTATGGTTTGAATCAACTGAGGATATTTACAATGTGGCCCTCAAAGATTGGATTTCGCAATTTTTCGCTTCTTTCTTTTTATTTCTTCTTCATCTTCTCATTGAAAAATTTTGATTGATTGAATCAATTTTCTAATTATTATATATATTAAAGTTTTTCATCTAATACTTGAAATATCATTTATTGTTATTCATTGAAGTGCTAGCTTCCCTTAGTATTTAACTTGTTTGTATTATCTATCAAGTGATGAATTTTATTGTAAAATCACTTGGATAAAATGGTCGTGTTGAAGTCTCTTGAAGATCAACATTGTATAAGGATTGGTACCCTTATTGTATGCCACCATGTGAGTCATATTAAGGTCTAGTAAAACTCAATAGTGTAGGTCATATTGAGATCCCGTTAAAGCACAATAGTAGGTTGTGTTGAAATTTCATAAAGTTCAACATTGTATAAAGATTCGGCACTCCTTTTTTATAAGTCATCGGAAGAGTTGTAAAGGGTTGGATTGCACCATAAGTCAATCAATATAGTGAAAATACCTTGGTCTTATCAGAAAGCTTCGTAACAGATAACTTAGATCATTATTTTGGATCGAACCTTTACAATTATATCGTTTGCACTATCTCTACCTTTTACTTATCACTTACATATTTACGCTTATTACTTGAATTGATCTTTTAGTCTTTACTTTCTTGAATTTAAATTCATTCTTCGAAAAAGCTTTTAAAAATCAATTCACCTACTCTTGGTTAATTATCTTTGAGCTATCAGAGTCAGTATATGAGACCTATAAATCTATAATTTTACTTAATCCTATACCTGATACCTATAAGGAAGTTAAGAATGCGGTTAAGTTCAGTAGGGACACTTTGATGCTTGAAATTGTCAATAACTCACTTAGAAGTAAGGACATGAAGATTAAAGCTAAAAAATGATAAGAAACATTGTAAGATTCATGTAGAACTCAATTTAGGCAAATTAGCCATAATGGGTTCCAAAGTGGTGGTGAG